AATTAAAGCAGTGATCAATAACTGGGTAAGTGAGTATGTAGATTTGAATGATGAAACAGATAAGGCTAATCTCAATAAGTAAATAATCACCAAAATCTTCAAAGCTTCATGCATTGCATATGCAAATAAATAGTATTCAGGTCCTAAATTATACTACCTCTTTTTTTATATCTCTGCATTCCTTGCTGGGAAGTTTCTTAATATTTGCCCCACTTTCCTGATTTGGCAAATTTTACCATATCAATATACACAAATTACCTAGTTTTCATCTTGCTTTTCTTACTTTTTCTACTTTTTCATCTTCTCTCTCCTCCTATTCCCACCCCACTATTTTACTCTGGAATGCCCTGAAAAAGGTCCTGGATCAAATAAAAGTTGAGGGAGTATTTGCTTATAAATAGAATGTTCACCGATTATTCATTATTGAATAACTAGTAACGCAATGACAATAGCAACAGATGATAACTTTCGTCTACATTAAACATAAATGTCACGCCAGATTTGTCCAATTGGATTAGCATCATCATCATTTTCATTTACCCCAGTGTCGCAAAGGCTCCCACCTACGGTGGGGTAAGGGGGGTCGGATGTACGCAGTCTTACCCCTGTACTAAAGCACAGAGAGACTGTTTGCGGATGATCCAATTGGATTAGCAATTTAGATAAAAATGATGTGGTCCTCTCTAATTGATACAAATTCCATATGCAAGTATCATGAAAAGAGTATTTGGAATTTCATCAATTTTAACTATTGAACTGAACCATAAGTAGACTTTTATTTTTTTAACAAATGGTTTTCACATATAAAATTACTTTACCTGTAAACAATCAAAGATATCTAAACACAATGAAACCATGACTCCATAAGAAATATGATTACCTCTAGGATTGATTGCTTCTGCTACTGGAGCCATCACAAGCTAATGTATAAGCTTATTGGTATCTGTTCATAAAAACTCAATTAAGACTTTACCACTTCTCGTTATAAAAATCACAACACAAATATAAACTAACACAACTCTCATTTTAGATATGTACGGTTAGCATTGAGTATCTTAACTTTGACCATTCTAAAACTATAATACTACTATCATGCACTTCATCTCAAACGGACAAAAATAAAAGAACATAACTTTTAAACTATGAACTGAAAAATAGTCCAGTATAACTGAAACCGACTCCACTTAAACTCCCAACTCTGTAGGGGAAAAATAATAGAGAGGATTATACATTCATACTAGTAGCAACTTATATTCCTGATGTATGACTATTGGTCATTCTATTTTTATCTAATCAGATAATACAAAACTAAAACCAAACCAGGGGATCCTATTAGAAAAAGGAAAGAAAAAAATATTATCTTTAGCCTTAACTGTGCATCAGTTCATCAAACTACTAGATAAAGACTCTTGGGCAGATATGGATTCCATATCTTTGCTACAAACGGTGTCTTATGGCCACTAAAATAAATATTAAGATTAAAAATTGAGCAAATTATATTAGCGCTATCAGCTAAGGATATAGCAGATAATAAAAGCACTATTTATTAGCAATATGAGCTCCAGAGATTATAATTACCATCAAAGTGTAGCAGCGAATCCCCATCCCAAAATTAAAGGAATGTACCCCATTTGAATATATATATATATATATATATATATATATATATATATATATATATGTATATATATATATATATATAAGTTCATACATTGACTACAAGATGAAGTATCTGCCATAATTTTTAATCCCACAGATCTGTAGAGAGAAATTACAAGAAGATCGGAAAGAACCTCCAATAAATCTTTTCAGGTGAATGGAGGACGGCCGTAGGCTCCGTTGACGGCTGCGATAGATGTAGAACCAGAAATGAGGATGATAATGATGAAAGATGGGTGAGATGAAGAGCAACTGCAGCTAAGAAGAGAGTATCCGAAAAATGATTTCCCCACCGGAAAAAGATAGCAACTTGATCAAGATGATTTGTGAAGTGCGCTGAAAAAGAGGCATATATATAACGGAAGAAGTCGCCGAGGGTGGCTCCCTCCAACTCTGACCCAATTTAGTTTGGTTACTGGAATCAGTTCTTTTTTATTTTTCAAGTTCTTATTTAAAAAAATGAAAGGTAAAATAAAGTTCGGTTTGAGACCGGATCAAACCAGATCAGACAAGCCCAGATGGAGACAAGACCAACCGTTTGCCGAACTATCCAATGCGAGAGTGCTAACCAAACCGACTTGGTGTACCCGCTTGGCCACCTGGCCTAGTCTTGTTCCCGACTTCCCGTCTACACCATGTTGGTATGAGGACTTGGACCTTCAAGGTCGGGTTTGTAGTCGTGGATCCTTGTAGGGTTTTTTTCCTTGCATATTATCTACTACCTCTGTCCCGGTGGACTTTGCCAAGTCCAAAGTAGGTGAGAAATAAGAATAGTAAAAACTGTGTGGTTTAGATTTGTGCAGAGGAAAGAGAAAAGTGCAGAACCACAAATTAGTTGATTTAATAGAAAAGTGACAAAGTTTTTTGGAACAACAAAAAAGGGAAAATTGTCAAAGTACAATGGGATTATTGTACTTTGATGCGGCGAAGAGTCTGAATCATTGCACCCACCCTGGCAAAGCCATATTTGGGGCATTATGATCGTCTAAGGGGGTGTTTGGAACTGATTCTGATTCTGCTTCTTTTTTAAAGCAAAAGTAGAATTAGAATCAGTTTTCAGAAGCTAGTCACCCTCAGCTTCTAAAGAAAACAGATTCTAGGAGTAAATTAGAGCACCAGAATCACTTCTGCACTTTTACCTAAACACTCCAACTTCTGCTTCTGCTCCCTGAAGGAGCAGAAACAGTTTTAAGAATCAAATCCAAACACCCCCATAATATCTCAATATTACACACTTTGTTTTTTAACATTATTATAAAAATAAATTGTATAAATGAGTATATGTGAGTATGTGACTCCGTACAAAGATGATGATGATGATGATGATGATCGATGATGATGATGATGATGATAGAACAAATTTAATAAAAGAGAGCAAAAAAATATGTTTTGAACTATACGAGTATATGTGAGAGAACATATATTTTTCAGTTTCTTTGGAACAAAATGTAAAGTGAGATTGTAAATTGTATATAAAAACGTAAAAGAAAATTTGTTTTTAAAAGTTGTGTACTTTAATTTATTCTTTTTTATTTAACAATATTTTCCTTGGTGGTATAACGTAGAAAAAAGCATACACAAAATAATGGATATATTCTTAATTTATACGGAGTATTGTTTTGTGATTAGTTACTAGTAACTAATCACAAAACAATATAAATTAAGAATATATCCATTATTTTGTGCATGCTTTTTTATGTATATCCATAAATTCCCTTACTAGTAATAAGCAGCGAAAACACATCACCATCATGCAAAAACACATTATGTAAGAAACCACAAATATAGACAATATAGCTTTATTATTGTAAGGGATTAAAGTGTAAATAAACTTAGTAAACTAAAATAAACCAAAACACAATAACTTAACATTTAATAAGAAATTCGTTATACGTATAACATAAGACATCAATTCTCTAACACTAGAAAAACAAAGACTAACAATAATATTAGGATTAACGGTGAACAAATTAATTCCTATTCTGAGGAGTAGAGCAAGTGGGTGAGCAAGGGCACTTCTGTCTTTTTCTTTTTAATATGATCTCTTTTTTGTCCAAGTTAAAAAGTTGTCCTGTTTTTTTCTCATGGAAACTTGGAATTAATATTAGTATTATTTTTCTTTTTATTTATCGTAAAATGATAGTCAAAAATATAGGCCTTAATAACTTAATTTGTCAAACTTGCATAGCGAAACATCCTCGTACAGTCGTACCCCCCCCCCCCCCCCAACCTGGCCCGGTACCATTCTCATACTTGTTGGTCAGTTCGGGATCCCGAATAAATAATCATATTCAGGAACCTATTCAATGTGAACTTGTGATAAGTAGGAGATAGAAAATGTTTACGACAATCTTTCATATACAATACACCCCTATGGACTTTTAGTTGCTAAAAGGAATGCCCTAAATCTTTCATATACAATACACCCCTATGGACTTTTAGTTGCTAAAAGGAATGCCCTAAGGACATTGGCTACAAGGTTCCCTGACCCCTCATGAACTCTTGCATTATTGAACAATGTTTCACAAGTTACAACTTAAATTAAAAAAAGGAGATTTCCCAAAATAGGAGTAAATGAAATTTGAAATTCCAAAATAGGACTATTTTGTTTTTATTCCCGAAATGGGACTAACATGACAGTATTTATCGTCATCTTGTAGCTGTGACTGTCAAATAGTTGCAATACAGTGCATTTAACATGATAGTATTTATTATAATTAATGACAATATTTCTTAATCATGGCAGTATTTTTCATACATGACAGTAATAACTAATAACTCCTATTTCGAGAAGAAAAACATACTAGTCCTATTTTTGGAATTACAGGTGTCAAACTGTCATTTGCTCATATTTTGAGTAATTTCCCATTAAAAACATAATCAGGTACACCTTGATGTCCTTGAGAGAACTAACAAAAATCTATGTTGACAATGGCGTAGTTAAGAAGGAATGTCAGGTGAATCGATACTAAGAATTTTCAACTGGAACATTTTTTTTGTACATCTGTACTCGATAGAATGAAATATTTTCATAAACTTGGGATGAGGTGGCTCACAACATGCCCCTCATGTTACGGCCATGCATCATACATGTAGTCATGTAGATGAATAGAATAATCCAAATTTGATACTAGTATAATGTAATGACTAATTAGCTATGTAACTCACATCAAATAAATAACCTTTAAAAATAGGCTTTGTCTAAAAAATAAATTTGATGGAGCTTATTAATTGTGCTGCCAATTTTGAGAAATATTCGGTTCACCTATGGCATCCTTGGATAATATCATCATACTAAAATCTCAACAAGCCCAAGAACATCATGTCTTAACATGGTATCAGAGCCAAATCGATCCATGATATGGATTCTCTTATGAAAAATGATTGACACGATTATAAAAAAGGTTCCAATTCTTAACATTAACATCCATTTTTCAACTCTAGCAGCAATGCACAATTAGTTTTAAAAGTTCTATAGATAATTACATTTCAATCTACGTAAAAAAGAGTACCAATAGATGATTTTAGCTGTGGAGGAATAAAAATTAAAAAAAGAGATAATCAAATCATTTTTTCAAATTTCTCAAGGCCCTTCACCCTTTGCATGGACCTAATTAACAATGTTACGAAAACACCTGCAAATGAAACAGAAGCATCTGACTAAGATCAATATATGCCGTTATAGGAAGCATAAACTACTAAAACTCTTGGCTTAATGGAATCATTATATGTTTTTCACCTGCACACACGAACGTTCCGTTAGCAACAACTTGATTGCCTTGACTGCTGAATGTTACGCCGAGGTTAATTAGTGTACCGCCTATAACTGTATACATGGTTGCCATTTGTAGTACTGTTGCCTTGCGAGCTGCTCTTTCAGACTGATTCATGTAATGATGTATGTAGTTTTCAAAGATTATGCACAGAAAAAAATGCTTATACAGAACGGAAAGAGGAGTCTTATATGAGTTGTAAAATAGGTTTACTAAAACTATATGCGGAGTTCGTACTATAAAGAATAAGGTTGACCCAATTAATAAGTTCCAAAAAACCTATAAAGATGCAAGAGTTGTCCAACATTTATTAAGAGTGTTAGACCATGATTTTAGGGATCCCCATAATTATAAGAATCCCATTCATATACATATATGTAGAGGAATGATCCTGGTAGGCCGGTTTGACAAGAACCGCCGTCCGACCGCTTTCATTTGAGGTGCCTCCTGGTGGAATTGTTTGATGAAATTTTGTGAACATGTTCTTCATGAGGTACATATTAGGTCAACAAAATTTCAACTTACAATTCAATAGGGAAGTCAGTTAAATAAGTTATTGAAAAACACTGCGCCAAAATATATATAAAAAAGCAGTGTTTTTCAATTATTTATTTAACTGACTTCCTGATTGAATTTTAAGATGAAACTTGGTGAACATAATCTATACTTCATGATATAATTCAAGAAGAACATGCTCACAAAATTTCATCAACAAATTCACCCGGAAGCACTTCAAATGGAGGTGACCGGACGGCGTTCCGGTCAGGAAATTCCTGACAGCAATATTTGTGTGTGTGTGTATAGGTAGGCACGTAAGGCTAAAGATGCACAATCTTAACCATTGATTTTTGCCGTTAGATTAAAATTTGTAAAAAAATTAGACATCTTATACCCCAGTTTTTCACTTTCAACACTAATCTAGTAGTTAATTTTTTAAATAGATTTTTTAGTAAAATTTAATTTGTAACATGATCTAACAGCCAAAACTAATACTTAATATGGACAAGGAAATTGAAATAATTGAATTCATCTTTGGCCTAAAATGAAAATAGCCTAAAACTGTTTATCTTAGGCCTACCTTACTTGAGCATTTTGGTACAAATCACTCATTGGATCAAAACATTATTAAAATTCATGTACACTTTTTTAGGCATAATCAGATTATGTTCTTTTGAGCATGACAGATAATATACTAAACTTGGGTTTTATTATAGAAAAGCTAGAAGTAGTCAAAGATCTTACATGTCAGTAAAAATCTTTGTTTTGAATGGTAAGAAATGATTTAACAAAATTGACGTGGGACACTTCTCAACCATACAAGCATAAAGCACACCAGTAAAAGTCTTCTTTATTTGTTTTTCTGTTTTGGTAGATAAATACCTCAAGGACACGAACTCGAAGCTTCAAATCTCCTGATTCGAGCTGCTTGACAAACTCCTCAATCCTCTGGATTCTGTAAGGCATTGAAATGGTGTATGACCTAGCCTGCACAAATAGATATATATTAACTCCCTTTACTCTTCTAATATTCTATGAGTATTAGTATTAAAACTCATAGAACATCGGATATGATGAGGTAGAAGAAAAAGGTAGGTACATCATCGGCTTGTTTAGTTAATTCCTGAACAAGTTGCGCCCTTCCCCGCTGCTTCTGTCTCAAATCTAAGAGCTCCTGAATGTAGAATTAGTAAGAAAAAAAATTAAAAACTGAGTTTGTGAGCAATGGATTGAATGTGATTACAATAACCTGTGCAAACGGGGCTGCAATCTTAACAAAGGAAAAATCTGTATCCAAGATGTTGCCAATGCCTGCAAAAATGCAGATTGTACAAAAAAAGCTAATGATGAGAAGACTATTGTGAAAACAATTAAGAGTTTTTTGCTATAATATTATCAAAACAGAATTCATGTACAAAAATATGACTTCACCATATTCGCAGTGAAAATGTCATCAAGATCACTACAGTGTTAAATTGAATAGTTTCATAGTCATTATTGCCACTCGAAAATGTCATTGCGTATTTAATTTCACATTGTTATTTCAGTTTTATTTGTCATTGATTCAAATTTAAATTTTACATTAATGGCACTCACCAAATAAGCAATTTAAAAAAACCAATATTATGAGAGTGATAAAGAACCTTCAAGGGTTGAAAATGCCCTCAAGACAAAAGTGAAGGTAGATGGAAAGCGGAACGGCTGATCCATTGCAATTGCAAACAAATCCTGCAAACCTTTCTTCTGTTAAAACTGTGGAAACACTTCCAATAAATATAACTATTTAACTAACATGTAAACGATTGCAATTCTCTATCAGCATGACCCTTCATAATAGAACCTCTACTGTAAATCTAAAAAGCCACCAAAGGAATTGCTAATGCCAATTATAATGGCTGACCATAATAAGAGAATAAATTTCACTTTTGGTTCTAAGAGTATTCACCATGGAGCCAAAAGCTCACTATTTTTGGGCTTGGGGATGGAATACAAGAAAATGGCTCACTAAACTGTCTGCGCTTCTGTGTTACGAAGCAGTCACTCATGCAACTTTTGATGCGATTTTCATTATGGGTCATCTGTGTTACGAAGCAGTCACACATGCAACTTTTGATGCGATTTTCATTATGGGTCATCCAAAAACAGTCTCTCTTTGCTTTAGTACAGGGGTAAGACTGCGAACATCCGACCCCCCTTACCCCACCGTAGGTGGGAGCCTTTGCGGCACTGGGGTAATGTTGTTGTTGTTGTTCTACGAGTACTCGTAGAACATTTGACACATTTGAGGTCTACGCGGTCTACACCTTTGACTTTGATCACATTTGACACATGACAATTGTTTCTTGGCCATTCATAATCCTTCCGGCCAAATCCCGACACCCTTCTCACAATTTTAAGCATCGGAAATATAGCCAAAAGCAACACAGATGGGAAAGAAACAATAATGTACCAAGAGTGGGAAAATTCAAAGTCATGGACCGAATGTGAGATTGGTATATGATAGAACTCTGATATTTCTGACTCAGAACAGTAGAGATTTAGGAAGAAATGATCAAGAAAACTAATCAAGAAATCTTATTTGATGTGAATAGTAGTTTACAGAAGGAATACAGTAGCCACAGAAAATTCGAGATGCCCAGTCTCCCAGTCTATTCCCAACTGAATACTTGCCTACTTCTTTTTCCTCCCTTCCCCTTCTATTTATACATGTACATTTATTATTATCTACATGTACACTTTTTCTTTTTTTTAGGGTAAATGTCGGGCTCATTTACCATATTTATTTATTAAGGTTTCAGTATTATATCTACATGTACACTTATTATTATCTACATGTACATTTATTATTATTATTATTATTATTATTATTAGCCTAATAGGCCCGATTCCTATCAGTATAATACTTGTAGGATCAATTGGAATTTATTCATAATTCAAAAACTAAAAATTGATCATACTACCTCACCGATTGCAGACATGGTCTGTTGTTGATCAGGCCTTTGATCCAACAAACTATCCAAGAAAAACTGCACAGATCTCCTCACCTAGCAAGTAAAGGTAGGCATCTCAATAGATTGGTCAGATGATCCAAACTGGTTCACAATATCTCATCAATTCCTGTTTTTAATATCTAAAGGCAACTTGTACCATACCGATGACATGTCTCCAGTGGGTTGTAGTGCTCCAAGATCAATGAGGCCTTGCATAACCTGCAAAGCAACCATTCCATCTTTTTGTAATAATAACTATAATAAGGATAAAAGTTAATAGCACCAACAATATAAATAACAGCATCAGGATGTGGAAGTGAATAGTAGACCTTTTTTGCATCCTTTTCATAAACAGCATAGAAAATACCCAGCAGCCTATCTCTTGTGAAATTCTTGATCTCTCCCATCATACCAAAGTCGTAGTAGATAAGAGCTTCATCCACATCTACAGCTAGATTTCCAGGGTGGGGGTCAGCGTGGAAGAACCCTGTTCTTAGTATCTGGACAGCAATGACTGAGTAAAATATTTTTATGTATTTTAATGATTAAACTATCGGCATAACCCTGTTCTGAGGTGATGATGGGAATACAAAATTCCCACCCTGGATAATTCCACACCTGAATTAGATAAGCTTCAACTGCTCGGGATGATATCCTAGATCTGCTAAAACCACGCGCATCAATAGCATCCAATGCGTTGATCTTTATCCCTGCTCATTGAGGTTTTCACTAAGCTAATATAAATATTTAATGCTTCAGTGATAGACCATCTAAAACAAGTTCCTTTATGAAAATTTACCTGGAACATACTCCAATGTCAGCACCTTCGTTGCGCTATAATCCCAGTACACAATCTCGAGTGGAGAAAAAAAGCAAGAAACACGTTTCAATACTATAAAGATCAAATTTGACTTGAGCAATTTTAAGGAATACAACTGTTTATTTAAGTCTATCTTTTTCAAAAAAAGAAGTAAAAGTGTTTAGTTTGCTTCCATTAATCCTGACAAATTTAATGAAAGGTCCGTAATATCTGAAAACAATGACCCTGTTTGGTAAGGATTGAAATGGCTGAGGTGGCATCTAGCAGAAGTTATGAAATGATTTACTCTGCGGAAGAATTTCAAAAATTATTTTGAAATATTTATGTAAATACATTAAAGAAAATTATTTTTTAATCAAATGTAGAAGTATCAATATGAATGGTTTCAGCCAAAAAGGAATTAAAATTTACTCCTGCACTAAGGCTGGCCATTTTTGGTTCGGCTTAACCGAACCGTACTAAGCTGAACCAAACCGAATGATATGCAATTCAATTTTAATTTGGTAATAGTTTTTCCAAACCATATTAGCCGAATGAAACCGAGCCCTGTTTAAAAAATGAATAAAACCTTTATATGAAGTATTTCCGAGTATATTTAAAAAACAAACTGAACCAAGCCGAAAAGAAAACTGGAAAAGATGAATTGAAACTGAAATGTCCACCCTTGTGTTGCACAACTCTTTTTCATTACAACCAATTATGCTAACATTATGAAATAAGTATTACTCCCTCTATCCCATTTGACGTTACCAACTTTCCTTTTTTGTTTGTCACAAAAACTTTGTCACTTTCCCTTTAAAGTAAATAATTTGTGGTTTTGCTTATTTCTCTCTTCTGCACAACTCTCAACCACACAATTTTTAATTTTCTTATTCCACATCTAACACAAACTTGGCAATATCCAATGGGACGGAGGTAATACGTTATAGCTTGGTGAAAATACTAATAAGCCAAAATTAAATCCTACCAAAGAGGCTCTAAACATTATAGATAGTTTTCTTTTTGAGGATATTATAGACAGCTGTACATCAATTATTAGCTGATCAAGAAAAGAAACGTACAGGAACTCGAACCCATTTTATATTTCGAAAATCCCTTCGAAATCTGTCAGCATTCTTCCCTTCGTTTATATAATCAATCTCCATGTACAAAATCCTGAAAGTTTATGAGCGGCACTTAAAAAATGGTTACTTGAACACTTCATCCCCTTGTTAGGGTGGTGTAGGAAGGATAAGAAAAATAAGCAAAGTTAAGGGGTGATTTTTGGTAATTAGAATCTGAACTGTGTACTGTGTGTAACTAACTCACTTTTCACATTCTTCATAAACTCCCATCCAGTCCCGGGATGGGCCACCTAGTGTTTCACTATTCTGAAAGTATTCAGCAAGTAATTTGAGATTTCCTGCATGAAGGGATAGCGACACAATCACTTGTTTGCCAAACAACATAATGGTACTTACTGATATCTGGTTTCACGGAACATTTGGACTTACCAAGATCAATGTCAAACAGCTTTTTCAAACCAGGTCTTTGAACTTTAACAACAACTCTTTCTCCACTGTGCAATATTGCACGATGAACCTAACCACAATCTCAATCATTAAGAAAACATTTTTTATAATTAAGAAAGAGGCTAGGGTTAAAGTACCTACAAACAATAACTATACATATTTTACCTGCAATATTAATTATATTGGAATTTGTTACCTTATTTAAGAGTTACTCCCTCCATCCTACTTGTATCTTCCTGTTTTCCTTTTTACCCGTCCTAAAGTAATCTTCAACTTTCTTTTCAAGGGAAAAAGATTGTGGTTATTATTATTTCACTCATTTCAAACAACATCTCAACCACATATTTTCACTTTTAACTGCACGTACTAATAAGCGTGTCAAATCAAAGACAGAAGATAATTCCAAGACGGAGGGAGTAGATCGTGTATTACTTTGATAATATAAAAGAGTCAAAAGGCATTAAACAAACACCTGACCAAGACTAGCAGCAGCAATAGGCCGGTCTTCAAATTCCTTGAACAGAATATCAACTGAAAGTCCCAACTCCTTCTTTATCAAGTCTTTTGCTTTCTCTGACGAGAAGCACGGTACTCTATCCTGAATCAGATGTACACCTTCATTATGAAAAACATCATATATGAAGACCATCTAGTTGCTCTGAGATGTCAGGAGTAATATATTTAAGTATTTTTCCTTAAATATTACTCCGTACTAACTAAATACTTATTGGATAAATTGTTAAATTATTAATTTTTTACAAAAATGCTGCCTGTTGGTAACTGTGTTAGTGTTGCTAACATTATTTGTTCTAGAATTCAAAATTATCATTTTTGTACAACGAGTAGTTACTTAGTAGCATATAAGGATTTTTTTCATATACGGAGTATTTTTTATTTCACAGTAAATAAGCAATATCTTAGAACCATTTTTTTAAATTTCAAATAATCCCACTATATGAGCAAGGTGAGTCTTAAATTAAATCCTTAACAATAAGGTTAGGATGTTCATTACTTATAAACAGCTATCAAGATTGGTTCTATGAAAACAAAGTCGTACCTGCAACTTAGCAAGCTCGTCAACAAACTCTCGCGGAAAAAGATCAGACCTAGTTGAGGACAATTGTCCCACTTTGATAAAGGTTGGCCCAAGTTGCAGCACACGCTCCCTTAACCATGAAGCAGTCTTCCTTCTTCTGTCTTTCTATAATTAATTAAATAGTTTAGTACTCAAAAGCCCTCATAAACAATCGGACCAACTGAACCACACTCGCACCTGCTTATCTTCATTGAAGCCGCTCGCATATGTCCATTTTGCATTATCTAAGAAAACACGCACACGTAGTGAAAGAGCAAAGGACCATATGTCTATTTTTCTTTGGAAGGAGTTGTAATTCTCATTCGCCCAATTGAAGCCCTCATCTGAAGGCAAATCTACAGGAGGAAGCTCTATTGACTTTGCTTTTATCATAACAGCCGGAGAAACAGCTCTCTTAACTATGCTTGCTCCACTTGTACCATTCACTATCTCAACTCCATTTATTGATGGTACTTTCCTTTGAGTGACTTCACTTGCCGGTATCATTTCTATTGGACGGCCATACCTTCCTAGTTTCACCGGAGACTCTCTCTGTTGCATCTGTACTGAAAACCCGCAGACCATTTCAGTGTTTTTAAGGGAATGCCGCTTGAATTTTGAATAAAATAAGGGTGAAATTGTCTGTGATGAGCTTAGATTATGGCTCTTCGTTCGACATTCAATCAATTCTCCATTAAGACAACAATAGCTGTGGGATGCCAGTGTCGCCGCTGCCATTTCTGATAATGCCCAAAAAGAAATCATTCACAAAATGAAAGCATTGTAAAGACTTCGGCTATTCTAATTCTACTAGGTTGATCTTTTAGGACTTAATATAGTATAAAAGAATACTACAGGCAAAGAAACAATATGATTGACATCCTAAAGAGAGCACATCAACTTTAATGTTGTCGAATACAATGAGAGGCAAACTTGCAAGGCATGTTAACTCATCCAACATAGAACAAATACAAAAATACTAACCATTGTATATGACTGAGTTATTTCTCAAATAAGGTTTACTTCTATGGGATCAAATTTCAAATCTTAATATTCAACAATCTAGAATATGCAGAACTTTAGATTAATTAGGAATTTTTTCTAAACTATAACCAAACCATACTTCATCAAATATAGAAATGCACAAAACCATGTCTTTTCCCAAGAAACAGAGAGAGACTTCACTGTAGATTCAAGAAATCATTTTAATTCTTCTTTTTAATCATATCCAAGCATATAAGTTGAATAGATTGAGCAGTCCCTCTTCTCTCCAAGATAACAATACCCTCTGCTCCTTCAATTCCTTAAAGGACAATCAAAATAAACCTCTACCAACCTTAAAAACCAAACCTTTGATCAAATTTCCTCAGAAGAACACATGGTGTAAAAGAACACGAAAAGAGGACCTTAAATTAAACTACGAAGGAAATAGTTGAAAAACATACCGTCGTCTATGGAGGGTGAACCTTTTGAGCAGCCAGTCAAAAGATTCGGCAGACTTTCTGGGAGCTATGCTTATGATACGAGTAGTTTCTGGATTTAGTTAAAATACTGATAAAGATGTGAGGATTCAGTTCCTTAATTTTGTCTGCTATAAGTACCATTTTGTTTGATCGACATGCATTCAACGTGTCCTCGCTACACTCCTCAAATTGATCTTAGGTGAAGGGAGCAAAAGGTGAGAAAAAGTGAGAAGCAGAAAAAGCGTAGTTCGGCTCTTGAAATTATTTTCTCCTATTTGAATCAAAATCGAAATTGTGATGTTACAGTTTGAAATAATTAGAAACGGGCGGAGTATTTGAGTTTTTTTCCAAAAAAAAAAATGTTGAATACAAAATTATTTCGGTTAAATTAAAATTATTTATCGAAATATTGGTGGTTAGAAAAGGTCGTCGTACGAATTGGCGACTCTCCTCAAAAATACGGAAGATGCGCTCAAAAAGTAGTTGCCGGCGAAGAGAAGTGGTGGGACCATGTAAAAGAAAATCTCCTTTTTTAAAATTGGTATAACTTTCATATTTTTGCTCAATTTTTTTAAAAACTAAATCAAATTCTATAACGTTTTGTGATCTTTCGACACCAATATTGAATATACGGAGTATAAAATTTAAAAAATTCTGAAGATCATATGGAATGAAAAAACTAATTGCAACTATCTATTCTCAATAAACATAATTCATGGCCAGTTTAAATGAAAATTTTGTATTTACCCTCTCAATTCAGCTTTTTCTTACAAAATTTTAACCAAAACTTTTTACAAAAATATGAAGATTCAATTGCCTAGAGTTTTTTAAGCTCAGCTATTTTCATAAACAGATCTGAGTGATAAAAATAAAATCTCATCATTATTATATACATCTGAAATCTTTCAGTTGTTCTTCAAGAAAATACTTGAATCAATAAAAAAATAAACTCCAAGTTTCTATTGCATTTAAATGTTTAATCTCATATGGCATTCATAATTTATTGAGAGTAGATAGTTACAATTAGTTTTTCATCTCATATGGCATTCATAATTTTTTAAACCTTATATATTCAATATTGGTGGCATGTGAAAGAACACAAAAAATTATAAAATTTGGTATATTTAGAAACAAATGGAGCACAAATATGAAAGTTATAACAATTTAAAGGAAAAGGAAATTTTCTTTTACGTAGCCCCACCGGCCACCTACACGCATCTTCCTCACATCTTTCGTATTTTTGAGGAGAGTCGCCAATTCGTTTGACGCATTTCCCTAACCAGAATTTGACTCATCAGTATTTTGGTAAATAGTTTTAACCAGACTCTAATTTCGTAAATATTTTATTATTTAGCATTATTTTGAAAAAACTCGGAGTATTTGATTTACAAAAACGTAATCTTCTTCTCCTATGTGTAATGACTTTAATACTAATTTAATGCTAAAAATTTATTTTTTATTTTAGTGTAAATACGTTTCATTTCAGTAATAGATTTTAAAAAACTTCTAATTTGAGTTTTATGTTTACTGTTTTAACTTGAAAATTACTTTGTACGGAGTATCTTTTATAGGTGTACTCTGTATTGAATTAGATAACATATAATCATATAATATCTTCTAGGGGTGTTCGTCGATTTGGTTTGGTCAGTTTTCGGTTTTGTCGGTTCAGTTTGGTCGGTTTCGGTTTTAGAAAAGGTGAAACTGTAAACCAAATCGCACTACTTGAGTTGGTTTTGGTTCGATTTCGGTTTGGTTAATTTCGGTCGGTTTTGGTCGGTTTTGGTCGGTTTTAGCATGTTTTTTTCGTTTTTTGTCGGTCAGTTTTTGTTCAGTCGGTTTTGTAACCCAAAAGGTGAATACGTAAACCGAACCGTCAATGATTAATTGGTTTTAGTCGATTTTGGATTGAGTCGGTTTTGGTTTTGGTTGGTTCGATTCGGTCGGTTTGTCGGTCAGTTTCAAAACAACTACCTTAGTTGTGTGCACCCCCTAAAAGAAATTTCAAGCCCTCCGAGTAGTAAGCCGTAACAAGTAGTTGGGATGCAATCTACCGACTACCCCACTTCGAGAAAATTATAAGTGACTAGGAACTACTACTGCACCAAGGATCAATGATCTGAATGTCGCGTTGGATATTGACCAAACCAAAACTGCGCTCCAATAAGTAGTAGTAGTAGTCGTAAACACCTTACATATATTATCCGGATATGGAAAATCGACACCAGGGATTCCTCCCGGGGTGCCACCTTTTATGAAAATATTAATTTCTATTTCAAGTTAAAATATACTCTCTAAATATTTTTCAAGTTCTCAAACTAATCCCAATAATATTTAATACCACAATTTCCCAAGTATATAATTTGCACTCCTCAAAATAATCTAGATTTAATATCACTTCAAACAATACATATACATAATCCAAAACTTGTTATTTAATCACATGACACATAATTGTATAATATGAGGTAAAATAATAATTTAGGTTGACAGATAAACTTACCTTAAGTCTGATTCTTTATAAAGTCTAGTTTATGCATACCACATTTCAGCTAAAAATTCAATTGGTAAGACAGTTAAATAAATTCTTTACAAAACCTGTGCTTTATATATTAAGATTTTTTCAACAATTTATTTGATTGATTGCCTTCCCGATTGAATTTTTAGCTGAAATTTGGTATGCATAAACTAGACTTGATGATGAACATGCTCAAAAAATGTGATCAAAAAATTCCACCGAAAATGACCCCAAATGCCCTAGTCCGGGCGGCGAGTCATGTCAGGCCGGCCTGACAGGATCGTTGCTCTCATTTTTCATATAGACAAATTATATCATTTGTGATGACTTCAACTCCGTTTATTTTCTGACGACACTTCCAGTGACTATAACTCTGATGATAATGATGGTAGGTGAAATAAAAGATGACACAATATGTCATGGTGAAGATGGAAGGTAATGAAGAAATAAGATGCATAAGATGAGAATGATGGGGATGAAAGGTGTTGGATATGAAGATGGTGAAGATGAGGTGATGAAGATGGAAGAAAGAAAAAAGACAAATAGCTGGGAGAGAATCGTATGAATGAAGAGAGGGAAATGAGATGAATAGAAGGGAGAAGAGAGGGAGGGGCAAATAAATAAGGTGTATCTCAGGGTGTAATTGAGGTGTACCTCTAGCATTTTTGTAAACTCATAAACACAATATTTTGTGTTCAGTCTATATTGTAGCCCTCCCTCGACATTTATGCATGCAAGCAGGGGCAGATCTAACATTTGCATTGAGGTGGGGCGAAAATTTAAATAAATAACGTATATTACAAAAAAACGTCAAAATGACAAAATGTAGTTAAATAAGATCACAAAAATGACAAAGAAAAAAATATTATAGAACCGACAATTTAATTATCTTAAATGTCATAGATACCGAACCGAAATTGACTTGGTTACTGAAATGTTTAGTACCAATTTCAGGTCAATTTCTTAGGAAAACTATTTTCTTTTGAATCTATATTATATATTCCGTAACCAAAATGAACTTATTAAATTTCACCAACCCAGCACAATGAATTAAACTTAATAACTTTTCAGGCTAATATTCAAAAGCCCAATCAATTGAACTAATTAATTTTCAGGCTAATATTCAAAAGCACAATGAATTGAACTAATTAATTTATCAGATCAATAATCAAAAGTCCAATGAAATGAACTCATTAGTTTTTGGGAATTTTTCCCAAATAGACTAAAGACGAAAAGTAATATCACTTTTTTCAACTTTGAAATCATTTTTCAAAAATAGACTAGATAAACTTTTTCTTTCAAAAATAGACCTCCTGCACTCAACTTCAAATAACTCACGCGGCTGGATGTGACGCAGTTAGGCGCTAGATATTATCCATTCCCAAAGTAGCCGTATCTCCATATGAAGCCTTTTGAAATTTATATCAATGCAAAATTTATACAATTATGATATAAAATATACAAAGTTTGTAAAAATATAGGAAATTAAAGTAATTATACACACTAAAAATTAGAAATACACAAACAGTAAAAAGAGTACACTAAAAAATATAATAAATTGATAAAATCTGAAAATAATGTAAATAATTAATCAATTAAAAAGTTAAATTAGACAACAAAAATATTAGAAAAACAAAATATATTTAAAAAAATTAAATTCCATAAAATAAAATCTAAATTATAAACGAAATACAGTAATAAAATAAAAATTTTAAAAGTGATAAAATCATATAATTATGGTATAAAAAGGAAAAAGTAAAATATCATACAAATATAATAAAATAATAATAAAATATTTAAAAAACAAAATAAAAAACATGTAAAATGTAAAAAAATGGAAAAACATTATAGGAAAATATTTCAAATTGAAAATAAAAATAAACAAATGATTCAAAAAATTAAATTGAATATAAATTTTAATTGTTAGAATTGCTATCAATAGTAAAAAAACGTGAATAAAAAATTAAGTTATACTTGATAAAATAGTGTTTCAAAATTCAAAATATAGTTATGATGTCACGAAATACAAAATATAATTTTTGAAAGTAATTTTATTTAAACTATTAACATCTTAATTTTGTAAAAAGTTACATTATTTAAAATTGTAACAATTTATTATTAAAAAAATTAAAACATTTTTAATACTATTATTACTATTATTGTTGTTTTTATGTTGCCTTTTGTTGCCTTATTTTTATATGGTTACTTTTTGTTTCCTTTTGTTTCTTTTTGTTGCTGAATTTTCATATTTTGTTTCTTATTGTTTATTTTGTATTCCTTATTGTTTTTTTTTGTTCCATGTGATTTTATTATATGAAATGTTGTCACTATACACGCATACACATGTATAAAGTGTTTTTGTACCAAAGTAGAAAAAAATAACTGGAAACATATATACAAAATCAAAAATAATAATACTAATCAGACATGGATCAATATAAACAAAATATAACAAGATGCAACAAAAAGCAACAAGATGCAACAAAAGCAACAAGATGCAACAAAAAGCAACAAGATGCAACAAAAAGCAACAAAATAAAATAAAGAGAAACAAAAAAACATACAATATATCCATTTAAATTTGTTTTTTCATATTCAATTATTAGCTCGTTTCCTAATACGGAGTATAAATTTACAAGTAGACTTGGGAAACCTGTTATTCTCTACTCTCTACAAGTAAAAACCAATATGCAAGGCAACAATTGAGTTAAAATATACAACCACTTACTCTCTCCTCTTCATAATAAAACCTTTATTATTGTAATTACAATAGGAATAAGT